ACGCTCTAACCTTCTCCGTATGAGAAGAGGCCTTTGCTCAGCACTTATAGGCTGATGATGATGTTTTCATTTGGCATTACGATAGAATGGTAACTAAACTCGATTAAGTTGAAGCAACTTAATGGTATTATCGGATGAACGTCCTTCAATTGAACATTGAAGGAAATTCCTCTCTTAATTTATTGGGAGGGATTTCAGTCCCTTTTTCGCGGAAAAGTACACGAAAAAATTTTGTGATGTGAAATTAAACGAAGGTATTTACCGGCTTAGATTTGAGATATTATTTAAGATTATCCGTATTTTTCAATACCTCGTAATAAGAATATTTGTGAGATTTTTGAGATATAATTCATTGAATATATTGTGTAGGTAAATAATAAATATGCAAATCAATAATTATTTCTCTCTCTCTCTCTCTCTCTCTCTCTTTTATTTATTTTATTTTTACTTTAATTCATCAAACCCCAAGTGAACCGCACCGAGCGATTGTACACCTATTAATTTTTCTTCTATTTTGTCTCGAATTAACACGGTACAAAGGATAAATATTTCAATAAACAACTTAAACATAACTAAAATGTAATTCTGATTAATAACCATCTAATTACTTTTCCAACGTAGGTACCTATATATGTATTTCAATTTAACGAATCAGCTTTTCAATTTGATCTCGTCAAATATTCAGGCGGTGTGTTCACTGTAGTCTCAGTCACGTTGATGTATCAAAGCCTTTATTACACCACGTCCGTTAACATTACCTTCATAAAGTTTGCGTAAGAGCCTGGTAAAAAATATCTGAATATCACGCGGCAATCTGTGTAAAAATATGAAATATTATGTAAATACGTAAATAACTACCCACCTTCCAACCTACATACCAAGTATCACTTTGTACTGTCATTATTTAATTTTTAACCGACTTCAAAAAAGGAGGAGGTTCTCAATTCGACGCGTATTTTTTTTTTTTTATGTATGTACACCGATTACTCGAAGACGCCTGGACCGATTTGCAAAATTCTTTTTTTATTCGATAGGGTATACTTGCCATTTGGTCCCATTGTCATGAGGTCAGGATCTGATGATGGAATCCTGGAGAAACCGAGGGGAACTTTCGAAAATTGTAGGGGCGAGTAGTGTTTTTGTATGATGTTTAAGTAGGCCTTTATCAACACTACAACTTGACGAAGGTCGAAGTCGACCAGATGTTGGAGCTGGAAGACAGTCGAGGGATCTCCTTGACTATTTGAAGTAGTTGCCTTGTGTTTGGGCTTGAATGATTCGTATTGACGAGCACTTTGCAGCAGGCTTGGTTGTAACTGTCATTAAGGGTCTGATGATGAGAACGAAGGACAGCTCAAGGAACTCCTGAACGGTTTACAGTAACTACTTCGTATTTGAACTTAATTCATTTATATTGATGAAAACTTTGTACCTGTATGTATTATAACAACTGAAGGTTTGCAGTTTACCTGATGATGGAGACCATTGACCGACGAGGGAATTCCGGATGGAACCGAGGTACAGTCGAGAGAACTCCTCAACGATTCATAGCAGCTTCCTTGTGTTTGAGCTTAATTAATTCATTTTGATAAGAACTGTACATCTAGATGGATTGTGACTGTCATCAGGGATCTGATGATGAAGACGAAGGACAGTCTAGGGAACTCCTCAACGGTTTACAGTAGCTACCTCGTGTTTGGACTTAATTTATATTGTTAAGAACTTTCCTGGAGAGATGGCCTGTGTTCCAGTAGTGGGAACATTAAAATGGCTGATAATGATGATGATGATGATGAGAACTTTCCCATTTCTTGAGATCTATTTTTTTTAACGAGCGGCTCCTTTCGTTGGCCTGGGTACACAAAGCTACTTAAAAAGTATACCTATACTATTCAATATGTTAATTTATATTTAAAATGTTACTGTAGTTTACAGAAGAACTTGTAACAGATACTAAAAAGTAAAAAATAAAAAAACTACGTTTAAAAAAACCGACTTCAAAAACAAAAAAGTGTCAAATAAGTAATTAAAATTGATATTCTAATAGCACTCTTACGTACGCGAAGCTAATACTTTTAATATTAATAATAAAACACTATCAATTCTATGTGCTACCTATTCATAGATTTGAAGTCGGTGCCAAGCCCTAAACAGAATAAAACTAAATGAGAATTAAGACTGTTTAATTGCTGAAAGACAAAATTTCCACAACTAACAACGCAGCCATCTACTACGACTTTTAACAACCAAGTACGAGAAAACTTTCATAATTCATCCAAATATCTTTCTAAGCTATATACAGTTTCGCCGGTAACGCAACCATATAGACTTCTGATTCTACGCTTACGCCATCAAGTTAGAAAATCGGTACTACATTTCTTAAATCCTAAGAAATAAATTCACACGCGCCCGGCGAGTGTAGGTACTCATGTAATCATGCTTATTATATTGTGTATTAGGCTTGGCACCGACTTCAAACCTATGAATAGGTAGCACATAGAATTGATAGTATTTTATTATTAATATTAAAAGTATTAGCTTCGCGTACGTAAGAGTGCTATTAGAATATCAATTTTAATTACTTATTTGACACTTTTTTGTTTTTGAAGTCGGTTTTTTTAAACGTAGTTTTTTTATTTTTTATAAACTTAAAAGTTTCTACTGATGTTTGTTTCCTTTTCATTTAAAAACAATAACACATTATGTACAGACATAGATAGTCTGGAATAACACATAGACTACTGCGGGCGAAGATGCTGGCAAAAGATAGTTAGGCCGCTAACCCACGTAGGCGTTGACGCTGCGCACACGCGACGTTGAAGTCAACGCTAGTTAAAGGCGTAGTGGGATAGCGGCCTTATATTTTTGGAGTGGTCTGTTCTTTGCTTCTATGATTAGTTTCATTACTATATGCAAGAGTTAAGTGAGTACTTAAACATCGTCTTGCATTACCTAGTTTAGATATACTACTAGTTTTTTCTTGAAACATTTCAACACATTGCAAATTCATTGTATTTTTCAGGACCGAGAATTATTAATTTAGATGTTGGTAAAAATGCACCCAGCTTGAATGTTCTTCAACAGAATATCACTGAATATTTAATAGAAGCTACTGTTTGATGAATTTGTAATCATCCCGGAAAATGTAGCTTTTTATTAAGAATGTCGAGATTTTTTCAACACTGAATCTCGGATGAAAAATACTTCGGAGAAACTTATTTCCCGTTCTTAAGAAAATGTATTCACTCTTTTACGTGTAGATTCCTGGAATTGCTTTTACTTTATCAAATTCAAAACGTGCATTTACATTAAACCCTATTCACTTAACTTTAAGGTTAATATTATGATGAACGTCAGACTTTATTAAAACACAATATTCATAGTTAAATTTTTATTTAAACCGAAATTAAATAAATACACCTTTACAGCAAATTTTCAATATTAGATGTAAATTATCTACCATTTATATTTAATTTTATTTAAATAATAAATGTGACTATCAACGACAAGGAAAATACTGGGTTACGTGGAATTTAACGACGTACATTACTGATTACACATTTTCTGATATACTTGATTATTACTGAACAAAATTCCAACATTTCTATTAATCATAAATTGAACTTACGTACTAAGGTACACATATAATATAGTACAAGCGATATTCATCCATACAACAGTGAAATATTAACAATGAATATACGTTTATATAAACAACACACATTATATATGTAACAGTGGATATATATATTAAAAATTACATTGACTTAAACCTACTGATATGCAGGGTTAGTGGTGCCCAAATTGATAATTTCGCCCCCACTTCCACGATATGTCTTTTGCTGGTTCTTTTTTTATTTAAATCGATTATAATATTTCGAATATATGAATATATTTTAAATGACAGTCACAGTACAGTTTTAAGCATTCTTCAAGTGAATAATTTCCAGACGAAATACGATTTCAATTAATTTAGACGCTTATTTAACAATATAAGTATGAAGAACATTAAAATTATATCGAGAATTTTGATTTAGAATTAATACAATTCGAGTAAATATGTTTTACTTTGGAACAATTTTATTGTATTTGCGCGCTAACATGGTGGGTCACTGCGCTGATAGACAGTAAAATCACCGGAAATTTTTGTCTGTCGAAAACATTATGTTCTAGTAGTATTCTATGGTTCAGGTATCATCAAATGCAATGGGCATTTTATAAGTTCAAATAGTTTTTATAAAATTGCTCCAAAGTATGTTAAGCTTAACATCTAACTTGCGTCGGATCATAGACAAAGCGTAAAGACAATAGAATATTTGAAAACAGTGCAACACGACATTAATAACATCAAAAATTTATAATGTACCGATTAAACATGAGACGGTTCATGAAATTACTTAAATATAGTCAGGTTCCTTCGACTCTGATCCATAAAATACGAGTATATAAGTGCTATATTTGTATATAAAGTGCACGAACCGCTATCTAAGTGAACAGTGACATAGGATATAAACATTGAAGCTTCAACATCAATACTACATAACAACATCAATATGATTATTACCAAAATGTGTCAAATTCGTGTAAATTGTGTACAACAGTAGGTACTCAATCTCGCGCCTTACACCATTAACACATTTTAAATATTTATCGATATACAAACACGAAGGGTATGGTTCAACATATTTTATAATCTCAAGGATAACTTAAATATTTGGTCATCCATAGACATCGCAAACCCCTGGATATTATCACATCGACCTTTGTTTTCATGTTTTTTTTCCGTTACCAATTTATTTTATGCTTGACTTTATTGCTTGAGATATGTATATTAAACGTTACCTAATTTTGCGATCGGATTAAACTCTGATTCTTTATCTTTTTTCCCAAATATTTCCAAAACACGATTCAACTTATCGTACCCACTACTAAAATACGAAACTCGATGCAATTATATGTGAAATAGGAAATACCATATTTATTTTGCAATAACGCGATATTTATATTCGATATTTCATATTTTTGTAGTCACATTTCAAACTCTTGTTCATTAACAGTTTAGGTCCACCCCTTCTACTAAAAATATATTCGATTTTAAACATTGTATATCATAAACATTCTTATAATTAGTAATTCAGACTAAAGGATATGTTTTTGGTTACAATTTTATCACGTGATAATGTTGATTTAAATACATGTCATATTATTATATTGATCACAGGGCTCAGAACATTATTCCCTCTTTTTTAAGATTTTCGACACTAGGTTAGGTTACTACAAAGCAAAGGAAATATGTTCAAAGTCACATTTATTACTCCACTAGACTAATGTTAAACTTTAACATCGAGTATTAACTGAACATAAAATCTATTAAAGTTAAAAAAAACTATATCTTTACACGTAAAAACTTAATGTCTACGTCAAAAAATAAATACAATTCAATAAAGTAAAACTTATTGAATAAACTACTAAAAATAACACTAATATTACGAACCAAACTGGATCGGTTAAATGCTACAAATTCTCAAACTATAAACAGCTTTGATTTAAATCGAATCTCATCTAACACTTATTTACCTAATTAATACTAAATTCTACATCAAATAGAACATTTATTTTATGGGCTCTAACTACGTAATATAATAATGAAGATAACATATTCGTACCATCTCGAAAGCGAACACAAGCCTGGAAACGATACACAGCGTACATGTATTGAATAGATCCAACGGATCAATATGTGGCTACATAATGAGAGGTAAATACACGTACCGCGAGATAAAATACTCGTACCTCGAGCCCTCTTACACGTATCATAGAATAGTAATATCGTAATAGTCAACATTGTAAATACGTAAAAGCTTACTAATAGGTTACATCGTAAGGCAGGGGTAAACGATAAAAAATATTAAAATTCTCCTTCAAATTCATAGGGAATTGTAAAATTTAAAATGAAATCGTTCATTGCTAAAGATTGTGTAAAAGTTCTAGCTCATTGTGAAATCACATTTATTTTGAAATTTTATTTAAGTTTTGTTCATGCTAAGAGCATGCTACGACCATAAAGATATGAAACACACCTTCAGTGATACCTACTAACTAGAGATGCCTGGTGTTACGTGTAGTTTCCTACATTCTGGTACATTACTATTAGTAAGGCATACCGCAAGAGGTCTTTACTACAATGTAAAAATACTGTACCACTAACTTACCATCCTTGAAAAACGTCCATCTTCACTTACCAAGCTACCGCTCCATAATATATTACTAATTTTGTTTATCAGCCCAAAATTGATATGTATCGTAGTTTATTGCACAAATTCATCACGTTACAAGTTTTGAACGGAAAATACAAACGCTGCGAAGTGACACGCGTCGAGCCATCCGGCCACAGCTGGCCCGAGGGTGACCCTTCGCGAAATTAAATTAGGACTAACTCATTGAAAACGTATGTTTATGATTATTCTAGAGCCACCTGGCTGCTACGACAAAGAGGACTTTAGTCGCGAAGCAGATGTCAGCGCGCATGGGCGCCCCAGAAGTGCGTCCGTACGCTGGTTTTCGTTTACAGTTCATCTTCTCAAGCGGCATCTTAGCGACGCTGTACTCACGGTGCTCGTTCACCATGGTGCAGACAGTCCTCTTCTTTTGCATCATTTCGTCGTCCCTGTCTCGTAGACCTGCGAGCCAGGCCTCGTACCACGCCAACTCGCAATCACAAATCAGTGGGTTATCTGTTGACAAAAACAAAAAATTGAAAACTCTGTAAACGTGTCATTTATTTTAATGTAAGTTTGTAAAATTCTTAGAAAATTCTTAACCCTAATTGTTTGTATACTGACCCATAATATCAACAACTCGGAGCGTATCTAAAATCGGCTCCATTATTTCCTCGGGAATATGTTGCAGCTTGTTGTTCTGTAGATTTAGAGTCTCCAAGGAATTCAGGTTGTCGAAGCCCATAGTCGGCAGTTGGTGGATCCTGTTGCAACAAAGTTTCATAGATTTAACCAAAGTGGTTAAAGTTGTGGGGAACTGAGTCGGTGCAGCACGATAAGAGGAGCAGTTAAGTACTAACTACAGTGTAATCTGGACGCTAAGCGTATATCATGGACCGTCTCCCGAGACTTTGGAGCACGAATTTGCTTATCTTGAAGACTTAAACATTAAATCCATGATGCTATTTTTCTTTAATAAGTTTCTGAAGAGTACAACCTGAGTTTTAATAAGCGCCTGTCGTAAAACAACACGCAAGTTTAGAATGAATAAATTTACTGTAACTTTTTGTAGGCGTGCCATTTATATTATATTAACATTTGGAATTTTACAAGCAAATTATCTAAGCTACGCAAAGGTCATGGAAATAGCATTAAAAATTATACGTCAACAAGTAAACTGAATAATCCTAAATATTATTAACCATTTCCTACGTTACATCACGCAGCCTATCTTTGTCAAGAACAAATCGGAATGTTAGATTTATTGATGGACTTCAAAAATATACTTATAATTAATATTGAATATACAGTTGAGCACATTAAAATCAATCTTCTTTTGTTTACCGACAGGCTGAATATTTCAGAAAAAAATCCATTCAATCCAATCCATTTAGATCTACATATTTTAATTTGATTGTTTTTGCTTCCGATTGTTATATTGTTAGAAGTCAAAAGTCACATTACCTAGATAAATAAAAACTTACATATTTTTCTGCAGGTTGAGGAAGGTGATTGAGTCTCCATAACCAGTGAAGGCATCCTCACTGATGTAGGTGATGTTATTAGAACGAAGGTCCAAGTGTCGCAGCCGATGCAGGGGACGAAGAGCTTCCGAAGGTATCTCATGCAGACGGTTATCTCCCAAACGAAGATACTGCAGGTTTTCTACAAGAGAACATACCAATAAAGTAACAATAAAGACAAGAAAGAAAATGAACAAGCTATAAAATCAGATATAATCTGTGAATCGAAGAAATATTTAATGTTCAACTTGTCGACTTTATTCCGACGATAAAGGGACTTTTCCTCTTTCTTACAAACAATATTAACTTACAGGCTTAACATAACCTTCAATAAAATGTTCAGGATTATTTTTCAAATGTACAGGACAATAGTTATTGGAGATTAAAAGAGGTTTTCGTAAAAGTCATTGTCAGTTAAGAATGTGTGTTCTTACTGAACCCTCATTCTTCTAATGTTGTAAATGTGAAAAATTATAAAAATTTAAGGATGTTTGTGTGTTTTTCAAACAAAAACGGCTGGTTCGATTTGATTGAAATTAAGTACCTCGAAGATAGGTGATACCTTGGATTAACACATAAGCTGATTTTTATCAACATACCACGCGGTTGAAGCCGTGTGCATAAGCTAGTTTGATATAGTTTTTTAATTATTGGTTATTAGAACTAAATGTTTACCTTCAAGTCCAGCGAAGGCCTTTTCATCAATCCTTTGGATTAAATTGCCTTCCAGTTCCAAAGAGTTAAGGAACGTTAAATGCGAGAATACCTGGGCAGGTACTTCGCGTAGCTGATTGTGGGCCAACCCTAGAGAATCTAGGCTGCGTAGACCTATAGAAAACAAAACACATACTTATAGAATTTCATAATACTAGTACGAACTTCTAAAATAAAATCATCATCTTCTTAAATGCCGTTTACTCAGACAAATTTTATGACATGTATTTTCATGAACAATAAACGAATAACTATTTATCTGTAAGCTAAAAAATCAACAAATCATTATTATCGTTTCAATTACTTATATCTTTATAATTTTGTGTAGTTTACACACCTCCTTTCAGAATAAGGTTACAATAACAATTGAATTCGACCCAATTTCTATGTTTGCTATGCCCATGTATACGTCAAGTATGGCTACTGGACGTAAAGTCTGCCAATTTAAGGGGGAGCTAACCATAATCAAATGTGAGTAATGTGCCCAACCCACGGACCACGGAGTAATCCGTTGGATGGTATTTACGACGCCCATGGGAAGCCATGGAGACAGCCCTCTTCGTATAAATTCGGACAACGTTCACTGAATACAAAAATAAAGAAACAACAGTGCGTTACCCATATAATAATGAGGGCAGAAGCTAGTGTACTTGCTTTGTATATATCCAATAACATCATAAACTCGAAAATGTATAAGTATGGATCTATTTTAAATAAAAATTACTTTCGGATACAAATCAAATTTGGGGTACTTTTAGCCTGGTCTTGTCATACAATATATTCATTTGGTATACATCTATAAGTAGGTACATGAACTTTCATTAATATAAATCGTAAAACAAGAAGCCATTATTATTTTCCTGACTGCAAAAAAAAACGTATTAAAAAAAGGCACATATTGGTTCTTTTGGTAATGGTAACTGTCTCCGCAATGAATCAATCTTTGTTTTCTTAAATACCGAAATCTTCTCCTATCTATCGGTACACACAATAGATAAAACGCTTAAAATTATTTCATTAATATATTACCTGCAAAATCTCCTTCAGTTATCGTAGCAATGCGATTCTCTTGCATTTCAAGCTTTTTCAAATTCTCTAAAAGAGCGAGAGCTTTCTGTGGCACCGCTGTCAAATCGTTGCCGCCAAGGTTTAGCCTTTTCAGCTTTCTAAAACAAAGACATTGTTTGAGAAATTTCACTTGACATTTATATTGAAGTTACAGGCATTGTGACATTTATTTCGTGCTGTAATTAGACGTAGGAAGGCTGTACTATGTTTATAGGTTGTGCCAACCTCAGATATTAAAAAGTATAATCCTCTATTAAACGAAACGAAATCAACTTTACATATAGAACAATAGAATTCAAATTCCAATCTAAATAACGTTATTAACACAAAATACGTTGACATTTTTATAACACAGACTAGTCATTAAAATTAAGAGATGTCACAAAAATAATTCTAATATCAAACTGAATAAAATTCAAATTCTGATAACAGGTAACTTACTTCTCGAGTCCTTTAAAAGCCTCGCCGTCCACAACAGATATCCGATTCTCATACAAAGTTAGAATCTCCAACGTATCCAAGCCCATGAATGCTCTATTGTGTACAGCAGTCACCTGCAAACATATACTTTTAACAACATGTACGAGGACACTCTTATTGTTCACGTATTACTTAAGTACTAAAAGAATAAATGTTTTTCTGTTCTGTATACTTTATACTAAACTTTAAAAAGTATTTAATTTGATTGACGCGGAGGCAGGGCAACCGACTACCATGCAACGTGTCGCGGGGTCTATTTCCACATGGACCAACTTTTTGTGTGAACCACATTTTTTTTCTGGGTCTAGTTGTGAAGTATGTGTGTAATTGTATGTTTGTAAACGTGCCTATATCGCAGGAAAATTCCTAAAGTGACGCCGTTTTTTTATAGGTATTGCTTTTATTATTTAACGATCTGCTATGAACTTTATTAATAAATTCCAAAACGCGAATAACATAACAAATCAATCGTGAAATTCCATTAGCTAGTTTGTAAAATTAAATAGGAGCCAAAACAAGAACGAATTTACAATTTCTTTTCTCCCGCGTACCAGAAATCAATATAAATAAATGGTGACACTCGCGACTCGTTTCTCACAATAATGGCACCGTATGAAACAATGTTCCATTCAAGGACTCACCTTATTATGGTTCATGTTGAGAATAAGCAGATGGTTGAGATGCGTGAACGACGAGGTCGGTATTGTTGCCAGGCTGTTCTGGGACACGTCAAGTTGTGTTAACTTATTACCTGCAAAATTAGGCTTCGTTGAAACACAGAAAATGTGGCTTTCAATATAGAAGTTTTCCCCTTTCAAGACCTTTGCCGGGTTCTAAATTATAATGGTAAACTTTTAACGAATGGAAATGGGGCCTTTGTGGTAGCTGCTACTTCAACAAGGGTGGTTTCTATATAAATTACGAGACCATAATTCTTTTTATTATGAAGTATCATGCCACAGATCCTTTCAAAGGGCTAACGTCAAGCTTAACCATTAAATAAACACTTAGTATTTATGTTTCTCAAATTATTTTGTTGATAGCATATACTGACCGATGGAACTCAAAGAAGAGTCTTCAATTACAGCCAGGCTACTGTTGTGTACTGTCAAGTGACGGATGTCCAGCCCCAGGAATATGTAGGAAGGCAACTTGGCCAGGTTATTGTGTCGGAGCTTCAGGTAAAAGATTATCATGGGCTTGGAACGGAGAGTATTCATTGCCTGCAAACAAAAATAATATTACACTTATGATTTATACGGTTAAAAGAAATGAAAGTCAGTGAGATAGTTTCGATAATATTTATATAAGTGAGGTTGAAAGAAGAGGAAATAAAAATACTGAATAAGAAAATCTCTAAGTTCCATGAACTTTGAAGAGGAAAATTATTATGGCAAGTTGCCAAACATTTCCTATTTCGATTGGATCAACATTATTCAAATGTGTGACTGGAATTTTTAGTTCTGCGTTTTCCTATTGATCGGCTTATAAAAGTTCTCTTACGATGCGTCTCTTAATGTTTAAAAAGCATGTATGTATGTAGAATGTAGTTTTGTATTCAGATATCCACTGCATGCCTATAGAAATGGCAATAATATTACAATCTTGGGCGGAATTGTATGTTTTAAGAAGAAGCTAAGGGAAGCTGTTCTAACTTAAGCAGTGGTGACAACAAAATTAACCCATCTGTGTTTAGCCTTTCAGTCGTGGTAATTCGAGACACAATAGTAAAACAAAAGGTGCACGAATTTGGTGAATTATTCTAAATATGAAATTTAGTTGTAAAATATAGACTACACTAGGAATACAGATATTTGTGAAGATATATCAAACATCTCATCAAAAATAAAATTTACCTTCTGTATGTGTTGTTGTTCAGTGAACTCGCAGAGTATGTCGAGGCCATTCTTTTTGACGGTGCAGCTGCAAGGTGTGATGGTGTTGGGCGCGGGACACTGCTGGGCGCCTTGCGGGTGCGCCGGCCGAGCGCACAGCACCACGCAGCACACCAACAACCAACGCGGCACCATTCTTTATAATCTATAACAAAACGTACATTTTATAACATGTCATCATCATCATCATTATCATCAGCCTATAAGTGTCCACTACTGAGCAAAGGCCTCTTCTCACACGGAGAACTTTTGGGCACTCATGCTCAAGGCAGATTGGCGATTTCAAACTTATAATTAGAAATTAATGTTTTCCTTCACCGTGTGTCAGTGGTGCCTAAATAATCTTAGAAAGTACATATGACTCGGAAAAAGTCACATTGGTACTTGCCAGGTTACGAACCCGCACCCTCATATTTCAAAAGCGGGCGCCTAAACATCCGGGCCACCACGATAACAAACATCTACTTAAAGCGAAAATTAAAAAAGCGTTTCAATAACGTTAAACTAATACATTTTCCGTGGTAGTTTGTGTTGAAAAATGGTTTTATCATAGTAACTAAAGTTACGTACAGAAGCCTCCAATAAGGTTGTTATTAAGTTCTATTATCTAACAAGTTTACAACCACAGGATGACTCTATTATATATGGCAACACAAATTATCCAGCCAGCAGATTTGGGCTTAAATAATTACTTAGGTAGAATACACCACTCTAGTCCGACCTCCCTAAATTCTAAACTGAGCCATTATCCGAACGTTGGAATATTACAAAGGAAACAAATTACGATGTCTGTAGAGGCTCATAACTTAGTACAAAGTATTTTATAGTATCTGACCCAAGGCACCTCGTTAAAAAGACAATTCTGCAAGTCACTTTAAATATTTTGTTGTAACGAGTAATACGATACTTGTTCTGAAAAATACCTCGTATTGTAGGTACAGTTTGTAACTAAAGCTCAAATTATATTTAATGTGAAAACTTTAGGTAACTGGTATTCGGTTTAGGTACTGTTATTTATTCAAAATGCTTGGACAGAGACAAGAATAGAATACCCTATTTTTTTTTCTTTAAACTCTACGAATATCTTAAACTAACAATTCTCGCGCAGTTTCGCCCGCTGCTTGGCTCCATTTATTTGTAGCGTGGTGTTTTATAGCCATTCAGAAACATTGCAGCTATCTATAAGTGAAAGAATTTTGGAAATGTGACCAGCGCTTCCAAAGATTACGCCCTACATACAAACTTAAAAACTTACAGATTTTACCTCTTTATAATATTAGTATAGATTAATCACTATTATGAAGTATTTACACTTAAAATACTATTATCGATATCCCACTTTTATTAGAATTTAGTATTGTAAGTTCTACTGAATAATAAACTACATTAACTTTTAGAAAACGTTTCATAAAACGGAAACTTTACTCCAATAATTTACCGCAAACTTAATACGGATTTCTAGCTTTTAGAACCTAATTCCTGAATTAACGAACGGCTTAGGAAGTTAAGCCATTAATATACATTAGGACCTGTTTCATAGATAGATATAATCTAACCGAAAGTTTCGTGACGTAACGAACCTTAACCTTAGTGAAGTAGTAGATGAGTTTAGGGGCAAAGTTTAACCCTTTATTAAACAATCTGTGAACTTCATAGATCACGGATGAGTAACTACTGGATACGTCTTTGTTATGTTCCTACTTGGCTGAGTTATGATCTTACAATACCAATAGTAAAAATATTCTGCTTATTATGCACGGTTGGCACGGTGGCTGGGCAACTGACTAGCGCGTAACGTGTCACGGGTTCAATTCCCGCACGGATAACCTCTTTGTGTGATCCACAAATTTCTGTTCCGAGTCTAGGTGTGTATATCTTTATATATGTACATATATGTGAAATGGTATGCTTGTAAATGCACCTACGACATAGGAGAAATTCCTAGTGTGGGACACCTTAAAAAAGAAAGAAAGATCAACGCAGTAAATGGAGTACATAAATTAATAAATAAAGTATTTGTTGTTGTTATGTTTTTAACAGTATTATTCAATATTAAACCAGAAGAAATTTCGCTCATATCAACACATTTTCGTTGGCATTTGATAGGACCACAAGATATTATTGGTATTTCCCTCAGTGTAACTGACATTTGACCTCCGCAAAATAACAGGTGACAAATACCGGAGAGAACAGTTGTGACATGTTCTCCCGACAACTGCCTGTGACGAGCGTCATGTGCTTTTATGGCGGGAAACCTGACAGTTTTACGTGTTTTCCCACACACACATACAGATACATTTTTCAAAAACGTTAATCCGCAAAGCTCACGTTTTAGGAAGGTTGAGTATGTTTAAAGATTTATCCACCAGAGCTCTAAAATCCTACAAAAAGACGAAGAGGACAAAAAACCTCAAGGCTTCTTTTGTCTCAAGTTTACGGGATTTCAAATGAGACTCCGATTCCCGGTACACAAGGATGTTACAATTTTGCATTTTTTGTTTTACAATTCTTTCTCGAGATGGCAAAATATTCATGCAATGAGTCTTGAGTCAAGAGTTTTGAATTTCTTTTCTCATTCGCTCGGTACTTATTTTTGTATCAGAAATGGTTTTCTTTCAGATCCACATCTAGCATCTATTGTAAATTTGTTTGCTATAACAAGACTATTATAACTACTAAGTAACATTATTTTTGTACAAATATGACTAGAATCTTTTCTTAGTCACATATGTAATAGAGAAGGTTAAAACAAATTCTTACGTTCAGTAAATAAAAAAAGTTTATTACCTACATAATTCTATTTCGTTTCCTATAAATCTGCAACCCTTTATTACGACTAGGGGCATGTATCAAAAAAATAATGTTCGTATACATTTAGATTGAAGTACGCTGCGTACTTATTGGCGAGCTGAATATTCTATCGACGAGACACGGCAATGGAATACTAATTTAATAGACCATCTCGCCCAACGTTAAGGGTTTAGTGGAAAATGCTTTTTACACACCTGGTTACTTTGATTGTATACTCGTTATAAAACTTCAGTAGTTTTTAATTAGATATGTTATGTGTATTATTTGATAATATATTTATTGTTATACCTGACGGTAAGCAATTAGCACCGCCAATGGACACCAGCAATATCAGAGGAATTACGAAAGCGTTGCTAGCGGGGATAAGAGTTTCGGAGATTTTGGGATTGGGGGAGGGGTAGATAGGCGTCAATCACGTGGCGAAACATCACAACGCTGTGGTTGTTTCACATCAAAACATGACTCTAACACTTGGCATTTATTATTATATATTAATTATTATTGATAATCCAGTGTTTACGTTTTTAACCCTAAGCATATAATAATATTGGCTTTTAGACGCAACAATTTAAAAATAGAATGTGTTAAGTTTTAAAAACAAAACAAAGAGGTTTTCTTCAACTTGTTGTTTGCAGTTCGTTCGTCACGATTCGTTACAAAGCAGTTTCAAGTTTGAAACTTTTGTACAGCTGAAACCTTATTAACAAACTTGTTTGTTCTTTCTTCCTACCGCCTAATTTGATTCTAAACATATTAAACTAATTTACGACCATGGAATAATTTTGTTTTCTAAAGAAATAAAGACTAAATTACCTTCTGACATCCTGACGGAAAGTATACAGTACTTATAGAAAATGTTAGGAAATAAATCAAAAGTCAAATAAAGTGATTGCCTAATCATTGTGATTTTGTGTGGATATTGATTAAACGTAGTTAAGTTAAACAAATGAAACTCTTGCCAATGCATTGCTAGCTAAAATGATAATACCAGGCGCTTAGTAAGATTTTAGTTATGCATTCGTCGAAATTAATAACAGATCCTTATCAAAAATCTTTAGATTTTTGACAGAAATGCCGTAAAATGATACAATGAAAAAAGGTGATCTTTGAGCTGCGATAGGTTTATTATTGAGCCCGTAAATACTGAATTTCGTTATTTAAATAGATTTAATCAACACTGCTGATCTACAACTAACAAATATATGTTGTACAGCAGACAACACAGACGGTTAAGCCGTAATTAAATATGCAAGCCACTTTGCCGCTGCAAAGGTCTTCACCACTTAACCTAATTTTAACTTAAACAAAGCAATTCTAAGACAATCGCGTACTCATTCCAGCACGTTACGTGTTACGGTGCGATTACATACGAAATACTTACATGTGTGTCTGTGTGCGTGTCAGGTCGGCGAGCAATTATGGTGTGGGGGCGAAGGGTGTGCCGATGTCATGGGGCACTAGGTCATGTTCACCGGAGTCGTCCGTGGCCCGTCCCTGCCGGAGATTAGATCAATTTAGTACGTGGAAATAGACGCCACAACACAACAGATACTCGGCGTTGGCGTCGGCATTCGGCCCAGACAGACGGAACCCGGGTTCACCCTCCTCACTAAGACGTAGTGGGATTAATTTGTTAACATACGTCCTGTTATTGTTGGGAATTCTGTCGTCGGTATAACGTGCAGACTCGTGAGGCTTTGCGGTGCTTACATAATGTAGATATTAGGTAAGTACGTTGTTTTCGTATAGTTCAGATCATACCATTGACTATTTACTACATTAGGAAACAAATTGTAATTATAATTGTCATTTGGAATGTTAAAGTATTTAGAGTTCATAGTAGTAGAAAGATAATTTTACAAGTCTATGTAATGTTATGGGAACGTGTGAATAATTTAACTGTAATACGTTAAGTATGTTCCTATGGACTACAAAGGGTAAAATACTTAGTAGTAATTAGTTTAAAGACTCAGAAATTGCCATACAATAATTGACATCAATTTATTTTCATAATGGAGGAATTGATAAATGAAAACTTCTTTGAATGAGAATATAATAAGGACATTGGATAAAGAAAGAATGTTGATACAGATCTCAATACTATTCCTTGGAAATGGTTCTCCCAAAATGTAATAGGTATTGAACAGCTACACAAAGGTAAGAGATCCTTTTTGTTTCAAACAAAATTAAATCAATGCAGTGACTTCGTTGCCTTTGGGAAATTTAAAATGCCGTGATTCGATTACCTCTGTTGCATGAGCTTCCCTCTTGGTACCAAAAATAGTCCTGTAGTTAAAAGGCCAATTGAAATTAAATTTGTTGAAATTTTAATTATTAATTTATGGTGTATGTTTTTTTTACTTTAAATGCAGTTTTCTTTTTCTATCACTGAGCTTTTATTTAATTTAAGGCTGATTTTTCAATGTTTAGATAAAAGTTATCTGCTGAATAATATTATAATGCTGTCGCGTCAGAATGTTTTATAAGACAGTGACAACAACAATTTTTTATACCTCAGAAAACATTTATTTTTACTTTTAAAAAATCAGCCTTAAGTCAATTATTAGTTAACTAATTTGTGAATTATATATACAAACTTCATAAATAAAATGTAAAATCTGACTATAATAATTCATTGCTACGATATTCGTAGCCACTGCTACGTCGTAGTCGTATTATCAAAATCGATCAATCTACAGTTCAGATAATTATGTTGTTGTTTTTATAGACATAAACAAATTAAAATAATGAAATTTGTCTCGAAAAATATTCATGAATGATATTACACAGAATTAAATATCAATCAATAGAAAGCGTGTAGAAACATCCCAGTTTTCATAAGCGTCAATAGAAAAAGCAAATTACCGTTGATCCAATGTCAACGTCCTGCAGGTTACTTGGGTCAAACAAATGACACGTCGGTATCAGAATGACGTATTAACGTAACTATTTACTGTGCATATATACAGGGTGTCCGGTAATAAATGGATAGCCTTGAGATGACTTTTAGTATAATTATCTTAATGATCATTCGGAACAAAATACGAAACTAATTTAAGAAAAAATTATACATATTTAATTTTTACAACAGTGTTTAAACATTGTGAGTATGTTAATCTAATGTACGTGAATTTCGAAGGATCGTTTTCTACATATTTCCTCCAGCACCATTTCATCTACTTCTAGACATAATAACTTAGGTACTACTTATGATATTTCTTTTCGTATTTTTATTTCAAGGTTATCCATTCATTACTAAATACCCTGTATTTGTTGTGTCTTTGTTTGGTAAATGGACAAAGAATACTAATTCATCTGAGACAAGTAAGATGAGTGAGTGAATGACAAGTCTGTCTCTGTAAGACCTCTGTAAGGACGCCAGTTCTACTTTCTTTCCCGACCCTAATAACCTGATTATGTTTGTTTTTCTTTTGTTTAGGATATTACATGACCATGAGACAAAATGCGAGAAGGAACTTTTGTACCGAACATTTGTAAATGTATTAGTTACGTTATTGAATTACTAAAAGTATTGTTTATTTTCTAGTAAATGAGTTAGTCAATGTGTTGCTGACTTTCTGGGGATTAGGGTTTTTGAGATTTAGGGATTGGAGGACGGAAAGAAGATATGGGCTTCACATGGCGAAACACAACACTGTAGTTATTTCACGCTAATTTTCTGAGAGGCCGTGCTATCACACCGGTCGATCCGATCCATTCGTGCTGAAGTATCGCTTCCCCACAATTACTGGCGCTTAAAATTGACGCTTGTTTTCAACGTATGACTATAATAAACATGTTTAAACCTTCCATTTCGCTGTAATTCTCGTTGTGTTTAAACTAAAAACGTTTAGCTACGGCCTGTGCTATCGGATATCTAAACTTGATGAATCGCTTCGATCACTCACGCTACCATGAAATATACCTACGTCACTGCGTTAAAATGAAGTATACAATACAGAATTATCAATTATCTGTTTTCTAAGTTAATGTCAAAATCATTTATTCCAACTAAACCATAATTAGGTACTTTCGAAACGTTAAAATAGAATAATACATTCCAAATTGTAGATTCGAATGGAGTGGAAACTTCATCTAGAAAGTTAAATTTAAAATGGAGAATGGGTGCTTTACAGTATTTAATGAGATATTTAGCGGAGATCAATTATTAATTATGCGTTTGTGTCACATCCTCCATTTTCTTACGTTTTAGCATCTGTACGTAGGTAACACAGTAGTAACTTTGAAATAAAATAAATAGTCAAAATGGTAATGTAAACCTTCAAATGGGAAAATACTGAACTGCCAATAAAAAAAAATACTGAGAATTTGTACCACCATATAATTTTAACGTTTGGCTATTATTTCTGTTCCAATGTTCAGTAGTCATCATAGCCTGAAAGTCCGCTTTTCATGCAGTAGTTTTGAGGGTGAGGTGAGAGGGAGTGTCAGACTCTTACTAACTAAAAACTACCCTGTGCGGTTCTCCTGCTCCAAGCTGGGGCCAGGGTACCTTATTGCGCAGGACCCGGAACCCGGGCTCATACTTAAAAGCTGCATTGTTACTTTAACAGAGTTATATGAATTTTGTAAGATTGATGTTTTCCTTAAATATATCTAGGTTCATATGGTTAAAGAAAACAAAACTTTTAATTTCCAATTCTAACTTTGAATAACTTCAATCTTATCAGTGAGCGCTTCAAAGCTCTTCAAAATTCTGTTATTAATTTTGAAATATTTGCACCTCTAAGAGCTGATTTTTCATTAGTCAGATAAAAGTTACCTGGGGAATAATTATGATGCTGTCGCGTCAGAATATTTGTATAAGACAGTGACAGCAAGTTTATTCCTCAGATAAAATTTATCTAACTATTGAAAAATCAGTCCTAAATTTATGAAATTATCTCAATTGCATTAAAATAAGACTTGATTGATTTTTATGAAAGCTTGCATTTTAATAGGTTTCTCAGAAGCCTGCCGAATACGTCTCGAGTTTTCCACCTTTGAAAAGTTCCAATCAATTAAAAGTAACTCTTCTAAAGTTAAGCTCTTTTACATTGTAGAGAAAATGTAGGCTTGTTCGGTTGCAAATAACTTTATTTATTAAGATTTTCTTAACAAGGCTAGCGTGGGAAAATGGTTTGGTAAATTATCCTTTATTAACGGCGCGTAGAGGTGAAATTTGAATTTTGATTGAGCTATATACTATGTACCAATATGCAACCAAATTTAAAATGAACAAAACATCACACATATTTTTATAAAACATTGGCCAAGTGTGATTAAAACTGATACATCAAGGGCATTGTCCCAAAAACACATTTTTGTTTAGGAGCTGTTACATTTCATTTCATAAATTTAAACTGTTTAGTTTAAATTTAGAATGAGATGAAATGAAATGTATGAAATGTTTTAAACTGTTTAGTTTAAATTAAGAATTTAGAATATCTAGTATCGCGGTTCATGAGACACATCTGAGCCTGAACCACGTGAAACACGTTCCTGTTGACAGGTAGACAGAGTGGGGGACGGACGGACACCTGAGTCTTAGTGATAGTGTTTTGGTTACCCTTGGCTACGGAACCCAAAACAGATACAATTATTTCAGTTGTTAGTATAATTATACCAACAATTATCTATGCATCAAAATTTCGGATATAGCACGGAAAACGTGTGCAGCTTGTAAACTTCTACACACACACATATTCAAACAAAAACAGCTCTTTTTTCGTGTTAGATCACTCTTTCAACGAAACTGGGTGGCATGTAAAACGTTCGTTACGTTTTTTTCTCTATGCTTTTTTAGAACGTTTTAATATTTCAGAAAGATTTTTCATACGAATCGGTCGAATTCCAGTAGTTATATCGTCAATCTTCTCAACTCATACATCGTAAGCGTAGACATCTACGTCATAAATATGACAAAAACATTTAAGCACAAACATTTAACCAACTTAATTTCTCAAATTAATTTATGTATGAAATTAATAAATATGTTTTTTTTTTCAACAAACATTTATTGTAAAATAACTCTGACTCATTGGTCGTGTTGCGGAAGTGTGGCTATTTAGCAAGGATTCGGGAGACGATTCCCAGGTTGGGCAAAGAATTTTAAGGACATTTCTATTTTTCCGAAAGTTTCTCAGTAGTAGCTCGTTTGGTGTTACGTCCGGTATATAACAAAAAGCTAAAACGTCTTAACTTCTTATTAGCAGTTTTCTTAAAAACTAACTATCTGTCCTTAAAATTAAACTACTTACAGTAAAATCGCAATAATCTGACAATAACAACGTGTATAATAAAGAAACGAATTAGAACACAACCAAACCGCATTCAAATCATAAAACCTTCCCAAAAGTACCAATAAAACTTTGATTTAACTTTCTTATAATAAACTCTACTCTGGTTGTAATAAAAAGAGATTTTGAACGTCTGTCATTAAGCCATTATATACGCCAAACTGTAATAAAGTACCGGAATAAAATGTACCCTAT